TTAATACATGTTAGTGTAGCATAAATAACGCTAGATGGCATTATGACGTTCCGCCTAATCACGTGACTTTTCAAACGTCAATTTTGATCTTAAACAAACAAAACATGATTATCTTTTGCTAATAACAAAAAAATATAAGAACTAACCTCAAATAAATTTGTATTATACCTAAACGAAGATATAGAAAACATGAAAAAATATGACAGATTCATGTAGAATATTTAACACTGAATATAGGCATCAATTCAAAAAAAAATCACAAGCATTGAGACATTCGTAAATATTTTACATATGTTCTAATAGAATAATACTATTAAGAAATTAATTATAATAAAATATCTATATTATCGATGGAATTAGATTTGTTCATTCTGATTGTTTTGCTGATCGTATAGAAGAGGATTGGCAGATTGATCCATGTTTGGCTTCTATACCAACTAAATTTGATGAGGCTGCAGAAAAACTTGTGCAGAAACAAATATTGGATAATACTAGAACAATCTATCAAGTTAGCTATAAAGATCCCTGTAAGAAAAAGATTTCTAGTTTATCTAATTAAAATATTACATACAAATTATCTATCTTATTACATTATATACATATGTATATATATATATATATTTATTTATTTATTTATTTATTTATATAGGGAGAATCCATAAAGACGAACTTGAAAAAGAAGATGAAGAAAAAGAGAAAACGTCCAAAGAGATTAATTTCCAAAGCGAATTATTTGCATATATCAAAAAATTATACTTTGATCCGCATGAGGAAAAAGTTCTAGCTCCACCGGCTACATCCAAACGAAGTATTCAATGACTATTTTTAATTAATTAATTCCAATAATCATTATAATAAATCTTTTCAGTATTTGGCTATTCAAGGCCAAAGTATTTACATGGTGGTCTGTCAATGTATCAAGATACACATGGACGAACAGGAGGCTTAATTATGTTACACAATGTTGAATTTCTTTCGAATGCTAAAGAAGAAGAATTAACAAAGAAGAAACAATTGGGAATAAAAGAGAAAGAAATTGATTTTTGTAAAGAAATTTAATGAGATAGGGGTTATGTTAGGGAGAAAAAAAATACAAAAATTTTCTAAATTAAATTAACGTCAAAAATATATATATATATATATATATATATATATATATATATATATATATATATATATATATATATATATATATATATATATATATATAGAGTATTTTATAATATAAATGTAATAAATAAATACTTGCGTATGAACTGAAGAATATACTTGCTACGTGATATTTTATTCTTTTTGACGAAGCAGAATTTTTCCGTGTTACACTTCATATCTGCTTTTACCTTTATCCCTTAGTACTTTACTTGCTCAAGCTAAATCCTATTCAGACCGTTGAATATAAGCAATACATCGTTGAATGTAAACAAAACAAAACAAAAAAGAATACAAATCTTATCCTATCGCTTTCTCCCTCCTTCCCCTTCTTCTTTCTATACCTTCCCTCTCTATCACTCTCTCTCGCTCTCTCTTTCTCATTCTTTATCTTTCTCAAACACGTTTTGTCTCTATTCACTATGAAAATTTATTTATTTCTTCGGACATTCAATTTTGTATAAATCTACATAATCATTTACAAAATATTAAAATATATATATATTTAAAATAAAGAGTAATGATAATTGCTTACCTGTTCCAACGGTTTCTGCTTCACGAAAGAGTGATTCCAATGAGCGTACTTCCTCCATCTTCCATCATTAAGTGGTGGGAAATTCAAATTGATGAAACGAAATAAAATATGTCGTTATATGAAGCTTAAAAAATTACTTCGAAATTATTTTTGTTTTTTTTTTCTTTTTTTTTTTTTTTTTAATTTTTATAATAAAATTATATCTTTTTACTCTCTCATTCTTTCTGACACATACACACACACACACACACTCTCTTTCTCATTCTATTTCTCCAACACATCGTTTTAATCGATTATGATTAAATTCATTTCTTTTTAAACATTTTTCAATTACAAATTTACAAAAAAATAAATAATCTCTTAATAAAATAAATGAATAAAATAAAATAAATCAAAAAATTAACTTACTCCAAGGATTGCTGCTTCTCGAAAGAGTACGATTCCAACGAGCGAACTGCTTCCCCATTTCTCTACAACATATGGAGGGAATTTCAAATTGATAATACGAAACAATATATCGTCATATACGGTCAATACTTATCAATCAATAATATTCGTAACTTTTATCAAAAGATTTTATCTTCGACAATGATAATTTTTTAATCTTCGAAAGATTATAAATGTTATTATATAATAATCGTATTATATCCCTTGTTTTTATCACTTGTTGCATTTCCTATTGTCTCACTTGTTGCATCTTCTGTTTATTTTGATCACTGTTTTGTATATAAACACACACACACACACACACACACATATGTATTAATATAAAATTATTTTATATTACTTTTAAATTTACCAAAAAAAAAAAAAAAAAGAAAAAGAAAAAGAGAGAGAAAAAAATCATTGATATCTTATAATTTACCATATATAATTACAAATAACACCATAATGAATGAATTAAACTAACCTATACAGTCAATTACTTGAATAAGTCTGTCTTTAAAACTTGTTAATAAAAATTGTTTTTATAAAATAATAAAAAATGGTACAATTATATAATACACTTTGTAATTTACAGATCATGTAAGTATTGCATTATCATTATGACAGAATTAACTTATATAATGAATAAACAAACGTATAAAATCCTACCATGGAAGAGATTAATAATACGCAGTTACCTATAAACTTATAATTTTTAATATAATACGCAATATTGTATATCGTAAAAAAAAAAAAAATAAATCTCATCCATTTTTAATTATATCCTTAATAATATTTTTGCGATTTTTTAAAACATAAAAATGCATCATACTTGATCTACATTTTGATATCATAGAGACTCTCCTAAACACGAATGTAATTCTTTTCTCTCATTCGAAAGTTTTCACGACTTCATAGTCGTATCTCATTAAATTTAATATAATATATCATTGATCAAGATTTATTAACGATCTACTTCTTTCTTTTATTTTTTTTTATGGAAAGAAATCCTATACGATTTATTGAAATAATATCATCTGCTAAGTGTAATCGAAGCATTTGAAATATTATAGATTAATTTAGTATGTTGGATTTGATTATATGCATGTGCATCATGTAAATTGACTTGAGTTGTGTGTATGTATTCTTCAGAGAAGAAAGCATGCAACTGATAGAGCCTACACACCGTCTGCTACATCATATTGGAGCAGTACAAACGCGTTCGTATCTTAGAACAATAAAAAAAACATGTCTCGAGATGTTTTGATACATCTTATTATAAGTGCTAAGGGAATGCTTTTTGGTATAATTGCATTTTTTGTATTATTCGTTGGTTATGGAAATCATGAAGTTGGATTTTGGTCAATTTTATCAGGTTAGTATGATTTATTTCATAATGTTATTCTATAATAATAATAACAATAATAATAATAATAATAATAAAACATAGAAAAAAAAATAAAAGTTACTTCGCACACACATTATAAAATTGCGATTGAAGAAAATATGATAGATATTTCTCTTCTACTAATATATATAATACATAATATAATATATATTGTTATTTGTTTTGTATAAAAAAAAAAAAAAAAAAAAAAACAATTCCATATAATTCTCAGGTATACTAGCCGGTGTTTGTTTCCATTTACACTGGGTAAAAGGCAAAGAAAGTTTAGACAGATGGCATACCAGAGTTACATTGCGCAATTTAAATGTTGTAGGATTTATTAGTGCAGTTTCTGGTATGACTGCATTAATTTGGTATCTCTTTCTAACGTTTTATCAATCAATCCGTAAGTAAATCTTATTTTACAAATTTTACTAATTCCACTTATAAGATATTATACCAGTTACATCATTTGTAATTTGATTTAATCAATTATTAAATGTTTTATTAAAAGATTAAATTTTTATTGTAGCTATAGTACCAATTTTTCAAAGTACCGCTATTACTGCAGTATGGGCTTTTATTTGTGGAACGTGGGGTATCTTGTTGATGTTTTACTCCAATAAATATGAATTACTTATTCAAGAAGGAACAGCTCCTATTCTTAATGAAAGTACTGCTTAAAGATTTTTATATTTTTTTTTAAATATTCATATTTTTCTAATCAAGAATATATATAAATGTAAGATTATAACAAAGTTATCTATACTTAATTCATAAATAAATCTGATAAGGGAGAATACTTTTTTATTTTTCTACATTAATTATATCCTATTCTTTGATTAATAGTTATGTAGTATTTATCAAATTTATACAAAAATTAAAAATGTTATTAGCTTTGTAAAATGTTTTATTAAAAATAATTCTGGATAAAAATTTCTTTAAATTATATCGAACATTAACATGTATCATTTATAAAAAATACCTTGGTCAAAATAAATGCAAATATACGTATGTATGCGTGTATATTTACATATGTTTATATATGCATATAACTATTTCATATTACTCTTAGATCCAGTACAAAAAAAAAACCATTGATCTAGTAATTGTAAATAGTAAACTATAAAGAATAATCAAGAAAGCATAAGATTAGAAATAACACTAACATAACATATATAAATAATATATAATATGTAATACAATAATCAAAGCATAATATATAAATTAAACTAGCCTATAAACTAAATCATCTAATAAATTTATCTTCAAGACCGTTTAATGAAGTTATAAAAGGAATAATTATATGATAAAAGAATAATTATATGATACACTTTACAACTTACATTTAATATATTATAATTATGATGGCTTTAATTTATATAACGGATGAACTAATGTATAAATTCCTACCATTGAAGAAATCAATCCACAGATACCTATAACTCCAGGTGTTAACTTAGTATAGCCTAATGCTGTTAATGGAATAAATAAATCGCATCCATTTTTAATAGTATCCATAACAATATCTTTATGATCTTTTAAATATAACAATGTATCATAATTAATTCTCGATTTACATTTAGATACCATGGAAAATCTTCTAGACGAATAGAACTTTTCTTGTTCTAAAATTTTAACAATTTCATAGACATCTCTAACTAAATTTAATATAATATTCATTAACCAATATTTATTAGCAACTTTATTCCATTTTTCTATGTCAACACGGAAGATTCCTACACGGCCTACCCAAATAATATGATCTGCTAAAAGGAACAAAGCATTGGCAATTTTTGATAATGTCAATAAAATTCTTACAATTAAATCTGGATATTTCATTGTTGAAAGTGCTGAATACAAGATGTCCAAGCATCTTCCAAGACGAAGTACTATAAAACAAAACAAAATGTAAAAAAATATATATATATCAACCAACGATAAAATTATATTTTGTAGAAAACAACTACATTTTCTGAAAGAACTAAAAGTATATTCCAAACTACGTAGAACGTCAGAAGATCGTCTTGTACTCTTTACATTTTGTGCGTAATACCAGCAAGTTCTACTTCCATATTGTAACAATCTGTAAGATATAATTATTAATCTTACTCGTATAATTTCTTATTATTACGTTATTAAATAAATAAACAAATAAGTAGTAATATTTTACTTACCTGATAATTTTATCCCTCCCTGCAGTTTGTTCATTTAATTTTATTATTATATCCATCTTTGTTTCTTGTTTTTTTACATATAATATATGTCTATATATATATATATATGTGTATGTATATACATGAAAAATTATATTAATAAGAATCAAAATGAATTCACCAAACTTTTCCTATTACATACATCGACATAAATATTGCTAAAGGAATCAAATTGATTTGTATGACTTCATTAAAATTTTTTATCGCATTTGAATATTGTTTGTATCACGTTTACGTCAAGGATCAAAGTATAAATTATTAATATACGGACATAAAAACTTAAAACATACAAATAAATATGAACTTCAACTTTACATGGTCAGCGCCATCTTTAATGAATAGAAGAAATTAATACAACATCGAATGGTGTATTATGTATATGCGTATGTAATGTGTTTATATGAAATACAGAAGGAACATAATAATAATTATTAAAGCAAAATATATCAAATTAATTATTATTATTATTATTATTATTATTATTATTATTATTATTATTATTATTATTATTACTATTAAAAAAAAAAAAAAAGAAAAAAAAAACCCTATGATCTTTAGTGTATGTACAATTTTAATACTGAAAAAATAAAAATATATTTTTTATATAAATTGACAAACACTTTTTTATTTTTAAGTTAAATTTTAATACACTCATGGAAAAACATTTAATTATTTATAAAAGAAATCAAGTTTTAAATATTGAGAAAATATTTTTATACCCGCATTATGCCTTACTTAATATTCGTGTGACAATTATTATCAGTATTGTAGCTTATCAATACTGAAATCAAATACTTAAATACTTAAGTTTCTTTTTAAATATATATATATATATATATATATATGATTATTAAAACTGTCTCTTAATTTCATAGTAACGAATATTTTTAGCAAGGCATGATTATGCATATAACAAAGAAACAATTTCACTTAAAAAACAAAGTATTTCAGGTAAATGCAACTGAAAAAATATTGATAATTATTATTAGAAGAAGTTGACTGAATTTAATGTGAAACTTACGAACTAACATTAAAAGAAGGTATAATAATTGTTTTATTACCATAAGAAATATTGAACAAATACATCTAGATGTGATATAAAATAAAGTGTTTTAAACAGATTATTCAATACAATACTGTATCAAAAAAAAAAAAAAAAAGAAACAAAACAAAAAAAAAGAAAGAAAAGAAAAATAAACAACACTGTCGTATATATAGGATGCTTTCCATTTATGTTACTCTCAGTCATTTAATATTAATTTGCAATCAATAAATGGAAAGTGTCCATTATAATATTTTTAGAAAGCAGAGAGCTTTGGTTTTTCCTTTAAAAAGTAATACCATTAAATGTATATAAACCATTGCGATATACCATTAGATAGCATGTACATTATAAATAACACTAATTTAATTGCATCAAACGAAGTGTATGAAGAGAATGAAGAATAAATAATACATGCACGGAGACCAATGTTTTATGATAATTTTTCTTGAATTAAATAATTGTGAATGTATTTTACGGCCGATCGCGCTCTTCCCTTGTATTTAAATCCCGGTGTAAGTAAGACAGCATTAACTATAAGAAAAATAAAAAAAAAAAAAAAAAAAAAAAGAAAAAGAAATTGATTACGTTAACAATCTATAGAAATATTACAGATGAAGTATCTTGTAAAATATTTACCTGCTATATAAGATAAAAGAAGATTATTAATTGTATTTCCAAGCCATGCAAAAAGCATCAGAAAGATCATAATTGTTCCATAATACTGTAATAAAGAATATATTATAGAGATCTATTTATTTACAAATTATTTATATAAATATGTTTATTGATAAAAACTTACTAAGTTAGGACGACTGTTACGTATATTAACAACGGATCTCCATAAACTTTGTAATTGAAGAATTGCCTCAGATAGATCATGACAAATTTCATTTAATTTCTTTTCTTTTTGTCCTGTCCAACTATCAGCCGTACAAAAAATAGAAATAATAGTTGGAACAAAGTAATCAATAAGAGCCAGTACAAGTAAGGACAGAGATATTAACGTGAGTAATGCTGGTTCCAACATCCAAATCATACTAAAATAATGTATATAAAATGACGATAAAAGTGAATTATTCTTTGACAAAGTGAAATAACATGATCTATATAAAAAGAATTGGGAACTTACCAAAATACAGTCGTAGTAAGGCCAAGAATTAATGCAGGATACCAAGGTCTTTCCCACAACAAAATAGAGTTTAATGGAAGAACGACTTCACGCCAGCATTCCATTTTTCTCTTTAACTGCTTCATATGCTTCTCCTAAAAAGAAAATAAAAACTGATGAACTAGGAGGAAGAAGAAGAAGAAGAAGAAGAAGAAGTTGAGAAAGAAAAAGAGGAAGAAGAAGAAGAAGAAGAAGAAGAAAAAGAAGAAATCTTTTTCATTGTCATTGATTTTCTCAGGACAAAGATGACGCTCTCTTTTAATAATCAATGAGATTGATTCAGACGCTTTCAAAGAAGTGCGCGCCCTGAAGAGAAAATTACTTTTGAGAGAATAAGATAATATAATATATCGATAGAGAAAAAAGTATTACCTTTTCGGAGCTCGCGTTGTCTGGCATCGTGTCCAAAAAAAGAATACGAGCAGATAGTATGTATTTAAATTTAGTTCTCGTTGAGTTGAAAAAAGGGGCGCGTATATATGTTGACGCCGAGAAGAAGATCGGCGGAACGCAAAGCACGGCGATATTTCAAGATCTAAAAGAAAAAGATTTTTCTGATCGGTAACACTGCGAGTGGAGAAGCGTATATATATACAAAAAAAAAAAAAAAAAAGGTACGTCACATACCGGCTTCGATGAGATCAATTCCTTATATATATACATATATATACATATACATGTATATATATATATTTTTTTTTATTTTATTGCTGTTGTTGTTGTTGTTAATATTAATTTATATCGAGTAAACGATCTGAGATATATTAAACTCTTATATTAGAGGATGGAGGAGGCTTTTCTTTACTTGGCGAAAAAAACACGAAAGCGCTCCGAGAGAATCGACTTTTGGTTTCGAGATTATGTATGTGGTAAGAGACTCGCACGCGATTGGCTATCAGTTCAAAATGTTGCTTATTGCAGGCGATGCCGTGCTGCTGGTGCTGTGACGTTAAAGGTATTCCTGTGTTCTATCTGAAATACGCGCGACTAAAACGCGTTTAGTCGAAAATAATAGGAAAAAATAATAAAAAAAAATTACAACAGGATATGGCCGCTGTGAGTTCAGTGAGTATCCAATTGTTTTTCCTTCATAAAAAAAGTTTCTATCGTCTGACAGAGGCTTTGTTTACCTTCTGGATCGTATCTACCGTATATACTCGTTAGAATGACACTTCGCCGCGAAAAAGAGATAAGATGCACGTTTTTTTATTTCTTTCTTCCTTCCTTGTTTATATATATATATATATATATCTTTTTTCTCTCTCTCTCTCTCTCTCTTTCTCTGTCTCTCTTTCTCTCTCTCTCTCTCTCTCTCTCTCTCTCTTGCTCTCACCTTCATAGATATCAAATGTTGAAAATCTTTCGCCACAAATAATACGCCGTGTGGCAAAAGAAATGACCGAGCTAACGACTCAACCACCCGAGGGCATACGCGTTATTTTAAACGAGGAAGATGTCACAGACATTCAAGCTATCATCGAAGGTCCCTGTAAGTTCAATATTGTTTTATTATAACCAATGGAACAATCATAGAGATTGTATGATAAATTTACTATATATAAAGAAAGAAAGGAAAACAAAAAAAAAGAGAAAAAAAAATTTTAGAAAAAAAAAAAAAAAAAGAAAAAATGAAAAAAGATTACGCTTTTATTCGACCATAACCTTACTTGAATGTCATTTTTATCCAATTTTATATTGTAACTTGCATTTAAGTATCAATTGTATTATTCTCTGTATCGTTCAAGATAAATTTGAATTTTAGTCTGATCGAACAGATAAAGAAAAGATTTTAAAAAATTTTATCTATTTTAAATGATAGAAAGAACAAGTACAAAGGTGATAATGATTAGATAATATATGATAAAAAGAAATTTTACCGTTATTTTTGCTTTAGGTAACTTTGGAATTAGTAAAATAAATGTAAATTATTTGTATGTTGTTCATATTGATCTTTTTATATTCTAGCTGGTACACCGTATGCCGGTGGATTTTTCAGAGTTAAATTAGCTCTTGGTAAAGACTTCCCTCAAGGACCACCAAAGGCATTTTTCCTTACAAAAATTTTTCATCCTAATGTCGCGAAAAATGGTGAAATATGTGTTAATACGTTGAAGAAGGATTGGAAATCAGACCTCGGAATTCAACATATATTATTGGTAAAATAATATATATCTATATAAAAATGATATATTAATATTATAAAGTAATAAATTAATATTAATAATTTCTTTTGAATTTTAATTTTCTTTATAGACAGTAAAATGTTTATTGATAGTGCCAAATGCCGAATCTGCATTAAATGAAGAGGCTGGTAAATTATTATTAGAGAGGTATGATGATTATTCTGAAAGGGCAAAGATGATGACAGAAATACATGCGCAGGTAAAAATGTCATTGCAATAATTATAAGTTACTATATTATATTCGTTGTTGATTTACCTTAAAGACTTGTAAAAGTAATCATAGCAATATTTCTAGGGCGGTGGAAAAGGCAGTAAAGCAGGTCTGGAAAGCTGCACTTCCTCTGAAGTCGGAGGACCCCTGCCAAAAAAGCACGCAGGTGATAAAAAACTAACAGCAGAAAAGAAAAAAATGTTAAAAGATAAAAAAAGAACGCTTAAAAGATTATAAGAGAAAATCAGTCTCCCCTTTTATCTTTTTTATAATTTAAAAACACTGGTGTGCTAAAGATGCCTCGTATTGTACACAATTATTATTATTGCATAGTAAAAAATTTATTATCTAAACTCGACTGATCTTATTATTAAGCATTTAGAAAATTAATTTATAGAGTCAGTGCGTGATGACTTCCTAAATTATATGAAAAAGCAAGTACAATTCTGTAGTGATCTCTGCAATCGTGGGCTGAGTTTAACAGTCGTTAGGCCCCATCTGTGGCCTCTATTAGTAAATATTTTTACATATGTACAAAATGACAAATCGTGTGATTATTTAAATAAAATGAATTGTTCTCCATATATGAAATTAGGAATTTCTTTTTTTTTTTTAACCTTTATAATTCTTTAACGGTATCAGATCATGCTTGCAAAGATAATTCTTCGTGCATCCTTAATTACAAACTACTATACAAAAAGAAGATATGTATATAAAATAAAAACAGGATATACTTAAAAGGATTATATTTTAGGTAAGCAAGAAGAATTAAATTGTTGAGAGAATATTATTCATTTTTTATTTAGTTATTGATCGTCAGTTTCTTTTCTTCAGTCTTGCATAGCTGCATTGCGGTTCCTTTGCTGTCAAGTATCAATATAAAGTCATAATACATTATATTACATGCCCAATACTGCATAGTTAAATAATCATAATGTTGATATGATTTGACTAGTTAACATATATCACAGCCTTAATCCACTATCAGGTATCATCTATGCATAGTGGTAATATATATATATATATATATATATATGTATATGATATATACATATATATCAATGATTGAGAACAACATTTGGAACATATATTACAAAAATATAATATCAATAACAAACATTATTATTTTCATAATTTAAAAATATCTCACAAAATATTAAAGGATTCGCTAAGGTTATGATGACAATTCTTTAAAATTAATCAGATTCGGGGCTAGAAGCACATTCTGTACTTTGATAAACAACAACTGTTAAAGATGAATTTGTTTGTATTTTTCAGATACTGATGAGCACACACGCACGGTAGTAGTACATACAAATTGCATACAGTCTTTACAGCATATCATAACTTTTTATTATTTTTTTTTTCTTTTTTTTTCTTTTTTTTTTTTTTTTTTTCTTTTAATGTGTCATAAAAAAAATCTATTAACTCCTATAAATCATATTTGAGTCCCCCTAAAAATTGTATGCCAATTTCTGAAGGAAACGTCAGAAATAAAAAAAAAAAGATCCATTCAAAATGAAATTGCATATAACACTTCGTTTTCTAATGGTATAATTACACTTAGTTTCATATGTATATCTTACGGAAATAAGGAAAACACAATGTATTGTGTTAGATCAGACAAGAACAAAACTTTTAGAGGTTGCCAAGAATTTATGGCTTTGTTACTTTACTTCCTTGACATAAGCCTCCAATTCTGCATCTAATTCTTCAGCAGTAGGAGTTTTTGTAGCTTGTCGACTTCCTCCTCTACCACCACGTCTTGCACCACGACCTATAATTTTATTTAATTATAAAGACAAACTTATCTTCAATATGAAACGCAATATAAAAAATTTGAACGTATCAATTTGCCAAATTTATAAGTAATATTTAATGGATTACCTCTAACAGATCCTGAACCACGATTACCTCTAAAACGAGATTGAGTTCTTTGTGCGTAACTGTTTCCACTGAGTCTTGATCCTCCACGCACTGCTGGAACTGGTATCTCAGATGTGGCAACTTGTATATTCATTTCACGACCTATTAGTTTCACATAAGATATACAAATTTAATACCTAAAGTTATTAAACCAATTATTAAATAATCCTTCAGGAACTTTTACAGACCATCAAGTGGTACGCCATTATACTGTTTCATTGCTTTTATAGCATCAGCTCTTCTTTCGAATATAACATCTGCAGAGCCTAATGATCGACCTGATCTATCATAATGTACAGCTGCCGATTTGAGAGGTCCAAATTCGCTGAATAATTCCTAATAACATATTATAAACATATAAACATACATACATATATATATATATATATATATATATTCAAACTATGTATTTACATGAACTTATATAACATCTATCTTTCTCTCCAATCATTAAATATAAGTATATTACCTGAATATCAGAATCTGATACTCCAAAGTCAAGATTGGATACGAGTAATTTGGTAACACCTGCACTGCCTATTGCACCTCTGCCAACCTTTTTTACTCCATCAAACATGTCATGTTTCCATGCACTGTTTACGTCACCCTATCAAAACATCAAATATTTTATTCACTAAGACATTAAAGAATCAATTATCAAAATATGGTCATCATAGCTACATATATAATTTACATCTTATATTTTCAAACAAAATCTCTAATAGTTTAAAAATATTATTACAAGTACAATCAATTTTTTACACTTTTATAAAGAGAATACATTATAAAAAAGAAATATGAGATTTAAACGATTAAAATGAAACTTAAATATTAAAAAATGAAACAATATTGATAGAATGAATTTTGTTTGGAAAAATAATTATTCTGATTGAAGGAATTCATGCAAAAGGTTGACCAAAAAAAAATATATATATATATATACGTGATACAAATAAATTGTATTCACAAAAGCGGAAGTAAAAGAGAATGGGTACGAGAAGCATGTGACAAGTTAAATGTATTTATTATATATATATATATATACCCATGTATATATATATCCATATACATATATACATATATACTTATATAGATAAATATATAATCGATTATATTCGAATTCTAATGAAATGTAATTGAGAAAATCTTTAATTACTTACTCTTGTATACGGCAAGGTACTTCTTGTAATGCCACCACGACTGCGTCCTCGCATGACGCCGCCGCCAACTCTTTGGGCTCTTCGAGCTCCCCTACGAGGCGAGCCACCAACACCTCTACCTCGTCTACCACCGCCTCCTCGTGCTCTTGTTCCTTTATTTTGCTTGATAATATCGTCGAGACTCATTTCTATTTTGTCTACCATCTTCATTTGTGATATTATTACGATAAACTTACACGACCACGCGAAAACGAACAAAACCAACCTCTCACGTCTTCGTAATAATGGCGGCGAACGAAGACGAAACAAGCACGCACAGGAACTTGGGTACCGAACACCATAAATAAAATTAATCAAGAGCGTCGACTCAATCTTCATTTTGTGTGACGACAGCGCCGCTCTATCGGGAAAATTTTGAGATATCTCAAGATACGTATTTGCTTAATTATATTATGTATTTTTATCTAACGATATAATATAGAATTATCTGTATAATATACGTATTAATTAAATACAGGTACATTAATGTTATTAACTTAAAAAAAAAAAAAAAAAAATTGAACATATACGAAACAATTTATATGCAAGTATATGTATATATTTATATAAAAAATATATTCATATAATCTTTTCAAATATTCTGTAAAGATCATAATTCATCATTTATTTCTATTTTGTTATCTTCGTTGTTATTTACACCATCTTCGTTAAGAAAATCTTCTGAATCGCAAATCTTTGCAATATCTGTACATAATTTTCTTCTGATCATAGTTTCTCCTTTACTGAATAAAGAGATTATAGGTTCTTCGAATTCTTCTACTATACCTTCGCACTGAAACGAAAATCATGATTTAGAGAATTGTTACATTAAAAAATATTAGAGATTTGAATCAATGTACTAACATAATATTTCAGGCTCTTATTTAAATCATTATCTTGAATTAAATCGACTTTACTCATCTCAGGATTCATAACACCAGATGAGCTCATAAGATTTAAAATCGTCAATTGACCATTTGTTTTATATGTCGCTCTCACATAATCTGACATTTTTTCACAAATTTCATCAATAGTTTCAGAAATGTGGATTTCAGAACGTGCCTTAGATACCTTCAAATAATAATATTCTGTTAAATTTTTTGATACGTAATCTGAATGTATGTTCAAATAAAGACTTACTTTCTTTGTAATACTATTTCCTTTAGCATCCATCCTATAATTTCCAACTTCTATTTCTATTGAAGGATCGATCTTTCCTAATTCAGTTTTTAGTTCATCTATAGTTGCCCTACAGACTATGTAATATATAAATGTATTAATATCTATAAAATTTCATATTTATTATTAATTTAGAGAAAGACATAAAAACTTACCTAGACATCTGAGATATTTTGGGTCTATTTCTGTTGATTTAACAAAAATACAAAGTTGCAAAGCAGCAATTATGATCAAAAATTTCTTCATTTTCCTTTATGAAAAATCAAATGACTAATAATTAAAAGAACACGCGAATGTTGCAGATATTAAATATACAAAATATATAAAACATATATTTGCAAAAATAAATATCCTACTTAATATCATAAAACTATATTTTTCTAATAACTAAACAACCGACACGTACGTGTAACGTGTGAAATTGATTCAGAGATAAAAAATCATACGTAGATAAATATTAGTTCCACTGAATGGCGATTGGGCGGTATTAACATCTATGCAAGTATAGTCCAATCAGAATTGACTGGAGCTAAAAGTCAATATTTTAAATATTCAAAATAAATTTTCAAAAATTTACATATATACACATGCTTGCACTGAAAATAAAATTCTCAATTATTCTACAAGACAAACAGGTTGTTTAATTATAAAAATAAAAGCTTTATAAATTTTAAAATTTAAATAAAAATTATGATAAATGACGAGGATATAACTGGACAATTTTGATTGGCCGATGAGAATTTTCACGTATGCATAACGCCATGTGGCATAAGATGAATGGCTGCTATTGGTTCTAACTATCGTTTAGTTTTATTAATTAATACAAACAGACAAGTTGTAGTAATTCGTAAGATAATGTTAACAATTATTTTAACTGAAAAAAGTGATTAGAAAATTAGTAAATAGTTATATATTATATATTATATTAAAAAATTCAAAATCTTTATAGCTTACCACATTATCTATAAACTACGTGAATACGTATCGTTTATTCTTGTAGTTTTTCTGTATGAAAAGTTTATATTATTAATATTACCGTTATAATTACTATAATAATAATATATTATATAATAATATCTAATAATAATAATAATAATAATGATAAGAAGAAGAAATAGAAAAAGAAATAGATATACTTAAATGTTATATATGTCATGCATGTAAATGCATATTGCAATGATAGAGTTTGGTTATGAAACTGATATTATGAAAAAATAATTAATAATTAATTAATCATAAGGTAAATAGAATATTTTCTTCTTAATTATTACAAATTAGCTTTAACAAGTTAACGTTTATGTTTAGAAACAGACAATAAATAATGTTTAAATTAAACAGTTACACAATTGTTTAAACAATAGAACTCTATTATTATATAATACGCGCGAGAAACTGAAAATAATTTTAATTTTATATTGGAATACTTAAAAATTTTAATCTCGAAGTAGTTGGTTTTGTATACTGTAAACATAAACGCGCTTTTTCTTAACTTCGAGGATTATCGAGTCAATATTCTTTTGCATTTCAACGAGTACACATCGTACTCGTTATTTATAATCGCGAAAACTTATAAATTAATTATTTCGGTAATTTTATAATCATTTAAACAATATTTAACGTACACGGAGCACAATAAAGTAATATTTAAACAATAGTAGATTCATTTAAACATTACAAAGAAAGAAACACGCGAGAAAATAAAAATAATTTTAAAATAAAATTCCAATACTTAAAAATTTTAAACTCGCGGTTGTTGGCCTTCTGCAATATAAACATAAACGTTCCTTTGATTAACTTTGACGATTCGTGAGTTAGTTTACTTCTACACTTCGACCAGTGCACATCGTACTCACTATTTCTAATCGCGAAAACTTATAAATTAATACTTTCGATAATTTTTCAATTATTTAAACAATATTTAACGTACACGGAGCACAATAAAGTAATATTTAAACAATAGTAGATTCATTTAAACATTACAAAGAAAGAAACACGCGAGAAAATAAAAATAATTTTAAAATAAAATTCCAATACTTAAAAATTTTAAACTCGCGGTTGTTGGCCTTCTGCAATATAAACATAAACGTTCCTTTGATTAACTTTGACGATTCGTGAGTTAGTTTACTTCTGTACTCCGTCCAGTGCACATCGTACTCACTATTTCTAATCGCGAAAACTTATAAATTAATACTTTCGATAATTTTTCAATTATTTAAACAATATTTAACGTACACGGAGCACAATAAAGTAATATTTAAACAATAGTAGATTCATTTAAACATTACAAAGAAAGAAACACGCGAGAAAATAAAAATAATTTTAAAATAAAATTCCAATACTTAAAAATTTTAAACTCGCGGTTGTTGGCCTTCTGCAATATAAACATAAACGTTCCTTTGATTAACTTTGACGATTCGTGAGTTAGTTTACTTCTGTATTCCCTCCAGTGCACATCGTACTCACTATTTCTAATCGCGAAAACTTAAAAATTAATACTTTCGATAATTTTTCAATTATTTAAACAATATTTAACGTACACGGAGCACAATAAAGTAATATTTAAACAATAGTAGATTCATTTAAACATTACAAAGAAAGAAACACGCGAGAAAATAAAAATAATTTTAAAATAAAATTCCAATACTTAAAAATTTTAAACTCACGGTTGTTGGCCTTCTGCAATATAAACATAAACGTTCCTTCGATTAACTTTGACGATTCGTGAGTTAGTTTACTTCTGTACTCCGTCCAGTGCACATCGTACTCACTATTTCTAATCGCGAAAACTTATAAATTAATTATTTCGGTAATTTTATAATCATTTAAACAATATTTAACGTACACGGAGCACAATAAAGTAATATTTAAACAATAGTAGATTCATTAAACATTACAAAGAAAGAAACACGCGAGAAACTAAAAATAATTTTAAAATAAAATTCTAATACTTAAAAATTTTAAATTCTCGGTTGTTGGCCTTCTGCAATATAAACATAAACGTTCCTTTGATTAACTTTGACGATTCGTGAGTTAGTTTACTTCTGTACTCCGTCCAGTGCACATCGTACTCACTATTTCTAATCGCGAAAACTTAAAAATTAATACTTTCGATAATTTTTCAATTATTTAAACAATATTTAACGTACACGGAGCACAATAAAGTAATATTTAAACAATAGTAGATTCATTTAAACATTACAAAGAAAGAAACACGCGAGAAAATAAAAATAATTTTAAAATAAAATTCTAATACTTAAAAATTTTAAATTCTCGGTTGTTGGCCTTCTGCAATATAAACATAAACGTTCCTTTGATTAACTTTGACGATTCGTGAGTTAGTTTACTTCTGTATTCCCTCCAGTGCACATCGTACTCACTATTTCTAATCGCGAAAACTTAAAAATTAATACTTTCGATAATTTTTCAATTATTTAAACAATATTTAACGTACACGGAGCACAATAAAGTAATATTTAAACAATAGTAGATTCATTTAAACATTACAAAGAAAGAAACACGCGAGAAAATAAAAATAATTTTAAAATAAAATTCCAATACTTAAAAATTTTAAACTCACGGTTGTTGGCCTTCTGCAATATAAACATAAACGTTCCTTCGATTAACTTTGACGATTCGTGAGTTAGTTTACTTCTGTACTCCGTCCAGTGCACATCGTACTCACTATTTCTAATCGCGAAAACTTATAAATTAATTATTTCGGTAATTTTATAATCATTTAAACAATATTTAACGTACACGGAGCACAATAAAGTAATATTTAAACAATAGTAGATTCATTTAAACATTACAAAGAAAGAAACACGCGAGAAAATAAAAATAATTTTAAAATAAAATTCCAATACTTAAAAATTTTAAACTCGCGGTTGTTGGCCTTCTGCAATATAAACATAAACGTTCCTTCGATTAACTTTGACGATTCGTGAGTTAGTTTACTTCTGTACTCCGTCCAGTGCACATCGTACTCACTATTTCTAATCGCGAAAACTTATAAATTAATACTTTCGATAATTTTTCAATTATTTAAACAATATTTAACGTACACGGAGCACAATAAAGTAATATTTAAACAATAGTAGATTCATTTAAACATTACAAAGAAAGAAACACGCGAGAAAATAAAAATAATTTTAAAATAAAATTCCAATACTTAAAAATTTTAAACTCGCGGTTGTTGGCCTTCTGCAATATAAACATAAACGTTCCTTCGATTAACTTTGACGATTCGTGAGTTAGTTTACTTCTGTACTCCATCCAGTGCACATCGTACTCACTATTTCTAATCGCGAAAACTTATAAATTAATTATTTCGGTAATTTTATAATCATTTAAACAATATTTAACGTACACGGAGCACAATAAAGTAATATTTAAACAATAGTAGATTCATTTAAACATTACAAAGAAAGAAACACGCGAGAAAATAAAAATAATTTTAAAATAAAATTCCAATACTTAAAAATTTTAAACTCGCGGTTGTTGGCCTTCTGCAATATAAACATAAACGTTCCTTTGATTAACTTTGACGATTCGTGAGTTAGTTTACTTCTACACTTCGACCAGTGCACATCGTACTCACTATTTCTAATCGCGAAAACTTATAAATTAATACTTTCGATAATTTTTCAATTATTTAAACAATATTTAACGTACACGGAGCACAATAAAGTAATATTTAAACAATAGTAGATTCATTTAAACATTACAAAGAAAGAAACACGCGAGAAAATAAAAATAATTTTAAAATAAAATTCCAATACTTAAAAATTTTAAACTCGCGGTTGTTGGCCTTCTGCAATATAAACATAAACGTTCCTTTGATTAACTTTGACGATTCGTGAGTTAGTTTACTTCTGTACTCCGTCCAGTGCACATCGTACTCACTATTTCTAATCGCGAAAACTTATAAATTAATACTTTCGATAATTTTTCAATTATTTAAACAATATTTAACGTACACGGAGCACAATAAAGTAATATTTAAACAATAGTAGATTCATTAAACATTACAAAGAAAGAAACACGCGAGAAACTAAAAATAATTTTAAAATAAAATTCTAATACTTAAAAATTTTAAATTCTCGGTTGTTGGCCTTCTGCAATATAAACATAAACGTTCCTTTGATTAACTTTGACGATTCGTGAGTTAGTTTACTTCTGTATTCCCTCCAGTGCACATCGTACTCACTATTTCTAATCGCGAAAACTTAAAAATTAATACTTTCGATAATTTTTCAATTATTTAAACAATATTTAACGTACACGGAGCACAATAAAGTAATATTTAAACAATAGTAGATTCATTTAAACATTACAAAGAAAGAAACACGCGAGAAAATAAAAATAATTTTAAAATAAAATTCCAATACTTAAAAATTTTAAACTCACGGTTGTTGGCCTTCTGCAATATAAACATAAACGTTCCTTCGATTAACTTTGACGATTCGTGAGTTAGTTTACTTCTGTACTCCGTCCAGTGCACATCGTACTCACTATTTCTAATCGCGAAAACTTATAAATTAATTATTTCGGTAATTTTATAATCATTTAAACAATATTTAACGTACACGGAGCACAATAAAGTAATATTTAAACAATAGTAGATTCATTAAACATTACAAAGAAAGAAACACGCGAGAAACTAAAAATAATTTTAAAATAAAATTCTAATACTTAAAAATTTTAAATTCTCGGTTGTTGGCCTTCTGCAATATAAACATAAACGTTCCTTTGATTAACTTTGACGATTCGTGAGTTAGTTTACTTCTGTTCTCCGTCCAGTGCACATCGTACTCACTATTTCTAATCGCGAAAACTTATAAATTAATTATTTCGGTAATTTTATAATCATTTAAACAATATTTAACGTACACGGAGCACAATAAAGTAATATTTAAACAATAGTAGATTCATTAAACATTACAAAGAAAGAAACACGCGAGAAACTAAAAATAATTTTAAAATAAAATTCTAATACTTAAAAATTTTAAATTCTCGGTTGTTGGCCTTCTGCAATATAAACATAAACGTTCCTTTGATTAACTTTGACGATTCGTGAGTTAGTTTACTTCTGTATTCCCTCCAGTGCACATCGTACTCACTATTTCTAATCGCGAAAACTTAAAAATTAATACTTTCGATAATTTTTCAATTATTTAAACAATATTTAACGTACACGGAGCACAATAAAGTAATATTTAAACAATAGTAGATTCATTTAAACATTACAAAGAAAGAAACACGCGAGAAAATAAAAATAATTTTAAAATAAAATTCCAATACTTAAAAATTTTAAACTCACGGTTGTTGGCCTTCTGCAATATAAACATAAACGTTCCTTCGATTAACTTTGACGATTCGTGAGTTAGTTTACTTCTGTACTCCGTCCAGTGCACATCGTACTCACTATTTCTAATCGCGAAAACTTATAAATTAATTATTTCGGTAATTTTATAATCATTTAAACAATATTTAACGTACACGGAGCACAATAAAGTAATATTTAAACAATAGTAGATTCATTAAACATTACAAAGAAAGAAACACGCGAGAAACTAAAAATAATTTTAAAATAAAATTCTAATACTTAAAAATTTTAAATTCTCGGTTGTTGGCCTTCTGCAATATAAACATAAACGTTCCTTTGATTAACTTTGACGATTCGTGAGTTAGTTTACTTCTGTTCTCCGTCCAGTGCACATCGTACTCACTATTTCTAATCGCGAAAACTTATAAATTAATTATTTCGGTAATTTTATAATCATTTAAACAATATTTAACGTACACGGAGCACAATAAAGTAATATTTAAACAATAGTAGATTCATTAAACATTACAAAGAAAGAAACACGCGAGAAACTAAAAATAATTTTAAAATAAAATTCTAATACTTAAAAATTTTAAATTCTCGGTTGTTGGCCTTCTGCAATATAAACATAAACGTTCCTTTGATTAACTTTGACGATTCGTGAGTTAGTTTACTTCTGTATTCCGTCCAGTGCACATCGTACTCACTATTTCTAATCGCGAAAACTTAAAAATTAATACTTTCGATAATTTTTCAATTATTTAAACAATATTTAACGTACACGGAGCACAATAAAGTAATATTTAAACAATAGTAGATTCATTTAAACATTATAAAGAAAGAAACGTGCGTGGAACTTAGAATAATTTTAATTTGCAATTTAGATACTTAAAAATTTTCATCGCGTATTTTTTTTTTATTAACATATACGATATCCTTATGGACTTGGACGATTATCAAATCAGTTCTTATCTATCAATTCGCCTTTGGCCTTTGACGAGTAAACATCTCAGGATGTCTTTGCTGCAAGTATCAACGATTATTTAAGGTAAATATCTTTTTATATTGCACGTTTCTTCAATAATTTATATATTTATTCTTATTATAACAGTGATATTAATAATTTTGATTTTATTTTTTTATTTCAGATTATCATTGCAATCGCGCGCGAAGCAATGATTTAATCGAATATTTTCAGTATCGCTGAAATAAAAATATCGCGAAGTAGAAGCAGTGTTTGTTCGTTCGGGTTTCGCGATTTAAACAATAAGTGTATTTTCATCGATTGTGTGCAATGCAATCGTTAGAGTCAGTGTTTGTTCACGAAAAGTGTTTTGCTTTTTTAACAGTCACATAGACTGTATTTATAAAAGACAGTAGAGTTTCGCGAAGTAAATTCAGTGACCGTTCGTTTAAAAATATTTATCGCGTAATAGAATCAGTGCATCATTGAAGAGGATCTCAATCAACTTCGATGTTGACCTACTTAATTTTAAAGAATCATCCATCTTCAATTTCGACTTCAACTGTGAACGAGTGTTTTGGAGCCATCGCAGAACTTCTTAAGTAGTGAGTGAATTTTTAAATCCCTCTGATTACTCAATCATGTCAAGGACGAAAGGTCCAAATTGGCACGAGTGATTGGTTGTAATTAATTATTAGAAGAGCATTGAATGACCACGAGTAAATTTCTTCGATGATTTACTCGTGAATGATTTTTTATTTTTTCATTTATTTATTAGATCAGGATAAGTTCTTCTTGTTAAAACGCGTTTATAATTATTACAAATTTGGAATATTTTAATTCAGTTTTAAATATTTTTCTTAAACGATAATATCAAAGAATCATTACCCAGGAATTTTAATAAATAATGAACAAGAAGATATTCGCGATGGATAGTATCTGGATTACAAGCGTAATTGTGCATGATTTTCTTATAATAATAAAAATATTCGCTTGTAAAAAGGGAACATCCAAGGGTTTGCTATATATTTTTAAATAAATATTAATTATTAATTAAATATTTTATTAATTTAAATTGATAAAAGAGAAGTCTCAATAAAATCGTTGCTTTTGAAAAAGAGAAAAGTCGAGTAGAATAATTGCTAAAAAAACAAAGAGACTTGTAGAGTCATAGTCCGTAAACCTAGATAATTAAATTAATTAATTTTTAGCTCAGGATTTTCAGCAATTAATATACTAATTAAAATTTTTCTTAGGCTACCAATAATTGTATAAAGATTTTCTTTTATATCGTATTATTTCGAATAAAATTTTGTCGTTACAGTTTCTGAATGATAATTTGTCGTTACAGTTTCTGATTTGATTAGGACACGAATTAAACAAGATGCTATATGCCGAAGAGGTCCATCACAAATTGTGGCTCAAGAGGGCAATTATTAGGCTATTGAATTATTTTCGAAAATTTACTAGAAACTTTCGAGAATGGTTCTTAGTCGTATTTAATTTTATCATGTTGTCATTCAAAATGCTCTTATGGTGATGCCTGTAGGGGTGTAGATTTAAAAAACTAAGACGAAGTAACATTCCGTGTACACGAATAGACATTACTTCATATTTTATGAATGTTTAATATTAAACTCGAGATATAAATTTTACACATTTTCTCTATTTTAAAATTCAATTGAATTTATAATTTTAGTTTAATAAAATCAAATTTTACGTTAAAGTCGATTGATAAATTTTATACATTTTTTTTCTTTTCTAAAGTTCAATTAAATTCATAATTTTATTTTAATAAAATCGAGATCTATATTAAAAAATGTCTATGAAATGTACAAGTAATAAAATATTTCTTTCAGAGAGAATAATATTTCTTTACATCAGTTTTCAGCATATTTCATTTTTTTTTGTTAATTAATCTTTTATTTTTCTTAAGTTTAATTAGATTAAATTCATAATTTTATCGTTCATATAATTAATATGTACATATTTTTTTTTCTTTCCTTCTTTCTTTTCAGCTAGTTCCATTCGTGGGATCGCTAACACGGGAAGGAATAATTAACAAAGAAGATTATCTTAACATTTAAACGATATAGGATACACGTAAAGTATAATTAATTAATATTTAAACAATAAGATATTCTTAGAAACGTTATAAAAATCATATACATGTATTGTCATTTACTATCGATTAATAGATATAATAATGTTTCTTTCAGAGAGAATAATACTTATTTATATTAATCGTTTATTGTTCTTAAGTTTAATCAAATTAAATTTAGCATTTTATCGTTCGTATAATTAATATACATATATACTAATTCTTTTTTCTTTCCTTATTTCTTTCCAGTTAGGTCCGAGTCGTGGGATCGCAAACACGTGAAGGAATAATTAATTAATATTTAAACAATAGGATATTCTTAGCAACGTTATAGAGACCATGTACATATATTATCATATATTATCGATTAATAAATATAATATTTCTTTCAGAGAGAATAATATTTATTTATATCTGTGTTCAGAATATTTCATTTCTTTTTAATTAATCTTTTATTTTTCGTAAGTTTAATCAAATTAAATTCAGCATTTTATCGTTCGTATAATTACTGTCATTTCTTTTTATTCTTATTTACTGTTATTAATTATCCTCTATATATATCTCGGGTGAGACCCATGGGAGAAGTCTATGGGTGTGTGCCTCTATGTGGGTTGCTGTCTCAGCATCTTATAAAGCTGCTTCTCTTTTCTTCTCTTTCTGGGACTCTTTTATTTCATATTTTTCATTGTTATTTGCTCCTATTAATTATGATTTATAAGTCTCGGGTGGGACCCATGGGATGGGGACATGGGTGTGGGCCTCTGTGCGGGTTGCTTTCTCAGCATCTTATAGAGCTGCTCCTCTTTTCTTCTCTTTTAGGAGCTCTCTTTTCTATTTCATATTTTTCATTCTTATTTACTCTTATTAATTATGATTTATTAGTCTCGGGTGGGACCCATGGGATGGGGACATGGGTGTGGGCCTCTGTGCGGGTTGCTGTCTTAGCATCGAGTAGATTTACTTCTATTTTCTTTTCTTTCTGCAGCTTTCTTTGTATCTCATATTCTTCTTCTTTAATTATGTTTTTAATAATGTCATTAATATGTTATTTCTTTTCATTATGTCTTTTCAGATTTTTATTATGTTATTTCTTTTTAATTATGTCTTTTCAGATTTTTATTATGTTATTTCTTTTTAATTATCCTTTTATGTTTTCAGTTATGTTATTAACATATTTTTATTAATTGTAATTTATAAGCATTAGGTAGGACCCATGAGATGAAGCGGACTGTTGTTTCAGCAGCATGCAGAGCTATTTCTATTTTTTTATCTTTCAGCAGCTCTCTTTTATTATTCATATTTTTCTTGTTTAATTATGTTTTTAATTATGTTATTAATATGTTATTTCTTTTCATTATGTCTTTTCAGATTTTTATTATGTTATTTCTTTTTAATTATGTTTGTTTAATAATTATTTGTTATTTCTTTTCAATTATGTTTTTATGTTTTTATGTTTTTAGTTAATATATTCTAATTAATTTTTATTTTTAAGCATTAGGTAGGACCCATGAGATGAAGCGGACTGTTGTTTCAGCAGCGTGCAGAGCTACTTCTATTTTTTTATTTTTCTTTTATTCATCTTCTTTTTTTCTTTTTCAGGGATGATCGAGCAATCATGCATCGATATTCAATATGTCTTTTCTTTTCTTTTTTTTATTTTCTCCTTAGCTTCTTTTTTTCAGGATAGATCGTCAAGGGATAGGTTCACCTCTGGTCTAATGTGTCATCGCCTGGCTGGATTCATCATCGATTTTTACACGCGAATACGGGCAGGATAGGAGAACACTCGCACATGTGTCGGCGTACACAGGCGTGGGTGTTCGCGGGCGCGATTAAACTTCGTTTGATAGCTCGTATCGAAAACGCGAATTTAGAGTAGATTCATCGTTTTTCTAACACTCACGTGAATGAACGCGGGCGCGACTTAAAAGTCCTACCGGGGACTTCGCTTAAATTTTTGCTCGAATATTCGATTAGATTACCTCGCGAACGCGTTTTTTTAGAGTAGAGTCACCGTTTTCCGAGCACTTGCGTGGGTGTCCGGGCGCGATTAAAAGTCCTACCATGGACTTCGTTTAGTGTTGAAATTCGGGGTGCGCGAACGGTTTACCTTGTAGTGCTGTACATAGCTGGCTGATGTTATGACAATCCTAATGTTTGGTAGCGGGGCGGAAATCCCGACAAATATCATGGAAAGTCTAAATACCGGTTAGCATATGTCACTTTGGATTTCAACTTAGAGTCACCGTTATTCTAACACTCACGTGAGTGTTCGCGTGCGCGATTAAAAGTCCTACCGGGGACTTCGTTTTGTTTGTTCGAATATTCGATTAGTTTATTTAGAGTAGAGTCACCGTTTTTCGAACACTTGCGTGGGTGTCCGCGCGCGATTAAAAGTCCTATTATGGACTTCGTTTTAGTGTTGAAATTTGGAGTACGCTTCGGATTTCAACTTAGAGTCACCGTTATTCTAACACTCACGTAAGAGTTCGCTTGCGCGATTGAAAGTCCTACCGGGGACTTCGTTTGATTTCTTCTATCATATATCGATTATTCTTCTTCACATATCGATTAGATTACTTCGCGAATTTGGATAGAACTGTAGAATCTACGTAATAATAACACACGTGAGTGTCGCGAACGCGATTAATGCGCTTTGATTGTTCGAAATTCGGATGCACGAAATCAGATGTGCTTAATAATCCGTTATGCCTGAGGCGGAGGGTGTCGAACGGTTAAGCTTTCTGTAAGTGGAGTCCCTGTAGCTAAGGCTAGATACTTCCTGTTAGCTTTGTCCCATGCCCAAGATATCCGAAGCGGAAGGCATGAGGGATCGGTATCGCGGTACGCGGATTTTAGAGTAAAGTAGAGTCACCGTTAGCTCGTGGGTCTCCACATGCAGCAACCTCCACGTGGTGAGACCTGGGTCGGTATTACTTGCGTACACTAATTATAAATTCATTAACGCAAGTATTACTGAGCGAATGGCTGCATATTGTATTACTTTTCCAATATCTTTTTAATCTAATTCCAATTGAACATTAATATTTTTCCATTTTATGTCTTTAATAATACTTCAAAAGAAGAAATTTATCAAGAATATATTGTACAATAATTTCTTAGACAAACGAAAAGGAAATTTTTCTATCTCTCTTTTACGACCGCTGTCATTTCTATTTATTCTTATTTACTCTCATTAATTATTCTTTGTGTATTTCGGGTGGGACCCATGGGAGGGGCCTGTGGGGGAGGGCTTCTGTGCGGGTTGCTGTCTCAGCATCATATAGAACTTTTTCTCTTGTCTTATCTTTTTGGGTCTCTCTATTCTTCTCTTTCTGGGGCTCTCTTTTCTTTCTCCGGCTCTCGTTTCTATCTCATATTTTTCTTTTTAAATTATGTTTTCAATTACGTTATTATTGTGTTGTCCTTTTAATTATGTTTTCTTAATATTTATTTATGTTGTTTCTTTCTAATTATGTATTTAAT